TGCTGCATATATGGATATCTATAGCAAAATAGCAACAAAAGGAGATTCAAATCGAGTGGTACAAGTAGCGGAAACTACGGCCACTACACTACATCAGTATTCGCAACGGCTAACAACAACCATAAGTGAATTAAATGATAGCAGAAACGGCCTGTCTGTCTTTTCATCGGCGACGGAATCATTTTGCGAATTTGCATAAATACACGTTTTGAATACCGAAACAGCGAAATGAAGCAGGAATTCAATACTAAAAATATATGGCTAACGGTGGACCAAGGCGTTGATTCGAACGCCCAAAAAGGAATAACTTTTTTGTTTCAAAATCCCAACTTCGTATTTGAGTGAGCCAATTATTGTCGGTTCAATGTTTTCTCTTAAAAATTTGACAGTCTTGCTGGACTATACTAAGGTGTCTGAGTTTAACTTAAAAAAAATATATATATGCGTTTTTAATACCTACAGTTAATTTCTCCCCGGATCTATGCTGCCTATCTTGATACTATCTGCAAATTAATCATATCAAAATTTAAAGCGCGCCACCGAAATGTCAAAACTTGTTAAGTTTCGAGAAATATTTGACTATATCAAAAGCAGGCAGCTTAAATTTGTCCTAATAACCGTGGGGTATCGAACCGGGTAGGAAGTGTCTAATAACTTTTATTTTTAATCAAGCAGAATGTGTCAGTTAAAAAAATAGCCGTTAGAAAAAGTTGATCCTATGCTGCTTAACTAAACATTTAGTTGCAAAAGCGCGGTGTGTTTCAGAAATCTCTAAGAGTTTACGGTTTCCTGTATGCTCCTGAAAAGTATACAAAAATCTGGTTATTGTCAAATGCTCCCACATCATAGTCTCGCCCCATCCCCCATGGACGCGTATCAGACTTTTAACATGGCGTTTTACTATGTCTCTTGTGAGTAACTCTGAAATTGTGCGGCTGGTTATCCGTCCCACCCGTTTCTCAGTTTGTGGCATCGTTGGCATTTTCGTTGTCTTCGTGCCCGTAGTCATACCTACAGATATATACACATATATGTACATCTATTTGTTAGCGATTGTATTCGCGAAATTTTATTATTTATTTTTGGTTTTTTGTTATTTTTTCTGTTTTTATTGCAGTCGTTTTTGTATCTCTTTGCTCCCCATTCGCATTCATTCTGCACATCTAGCCATTGAATGCGGTGCTGGCACTTTTTTGTTTTGTATATTTATTTTTATTGCCGCTGGTGTTTTTGCTATTTCGTTTTCGTCCTCTCTTTTATATGCGTAGCTATATGCACTCGCATATTGCGGGGTTAACCGAAAAATCTTCATTAATGAAATAAATATTGTATGAGAAAGTTGTGCCTATGGATAGATTCAAGATTGACATAATTGTTTTGGACTTTTTTTGGTTTAATAACATTTTAGATTTAAGGATTGAAGACTAAATTAGAGTCGGATCTAGCTAGTAGCTCCGTTCAGGAGTTTACGTAGAGTTGCGTACCTAAATTTACGTTCTAAGTGTATAAATTTTAAAGGTAGACGACCTAATCCATATCCTCGGGTTAAAATAGGTCATTCCTGAACTCATATCAGAGCGTGCAAATCATGTCTAAAAGTAGAATCTCTAGAAGGATCTTATCTCTTATTGAATATCATAAACATATTTCGGTCCTTAGTTTGAAACTCTTCAGTAACAGTCAGATGGCATTGAAATGAAAGAATCCGCATGTTTTGTTGTAGCGACTGAAAAACAAAATTATTTGAGGGAAGTCGTCGAGTTAGCAACTCGTTACAATAATCTGTTCATTCCTATTATATAAACCCGACTGAAGTGGTTCCTCAAAGAGACCCTGTCGCAACTAGACGTTTTCTTCAACTTTTGTTCTTTACAACTTGAAACATTTTCGAATTAGACGGTCTTTACATTGTAGCCTAAAATACCCCAGCGGCAAAGCATGGTGATGAAACAATTTGTTGGGCGAATAAATTGTATTCCTTCTTTTGTTTTGTTCTACAAGTTTTTCGTATTTTATTTTCATTTTCTTTTGCTCTACGAATATTATATGTTTGCATGGGTTTATTGTAGGATGTTCATTTGTCGGTGGGGTGTCAGTGGCCGTCTTAAAAGCTGCCGTCAACACATTCACACAATTGTTTCGAGTTGTTGCTCTTAGCTATCGTCGTTGACATAGCTTCAACGTGTTTTCGTACTTTCGGTTACTATGGCTAGAGCATACGCCAAAGCGACCCACCAACCATCCCCTCGCTGTCTTCTTGGCTTACTCGGATCGCCATTGTAGGCACTGCATGCACTCAATGGCCGAGTCGTTGGATCTCGACGGGTTGCTGCCAAAATGTAAATGCCGCTACGGCACTCAATCAATTAGACTTAATTTATAATCGCGCGGATTACGGTGTTAATTATCGACATACCGACGACAGCGGCAATGACTGAGCTGACTCTTTGGCAGCAGTAAATATGTGTTTACAGTGGCAGCGAGAACATAATCGCCTGCGGTCAGTCCCACTAGACACCACCACTGCGATTTTTACGCCGAGTGTTGGTTAGCGAAAATTATTAATAAATTCAATAAAATTTGTGCGAAAATGTTCTTCATGAAGCGTTAACACTAAACAACTGAAAAAAGCACCTAAAGAAAATAGCTGCAACTCCCTTCGTCGTTGTCATTAGCATAAACGTCAAGTAGCACGTCAGCTAAGATTGTGGTGTTGGCCAACAGTCGCTTTAGTCCTCCGGGCAAAAATCGCACACTACTCGTATATACTCGTGTAGTTGCTTTTAATTAAGCACACCGTGGTTGTGTGGTTGTGGTTGCGTCAAACTAACGTAATTGACTAAGTATTTTCAAAGCTTCTAGACAGACGCACAGCAGTCGGCGTTCGGCGTCAAACCAAGCAAATTGTTGAAGTAAAGCAAAGTGGTTAAGTGGTGTACATTGATGTAGTGGCGAACATAGTGAATTAGTGCGGTGTGCGGTTGACGGTTACGGTGTTGACGGTTGGCGGCGAAGCATAGTGTATTTGTAGGTATTAAAGTGAAGGTGGTCGTCGACACCAAACCATAACTTGTGGCCGCACCCAATCGTAGTCTCTGTAGTCGTTGTCGTTGCCTTTGCCTTTGTCGTTGCCGATTCGCATAGTTTTATATTCGTTCTTCAAAAAGCAACAACAAAAAAATGTAAACAGCAAACAACAGCAGCAAACCCGTCAAATAGCCAAAGAGCCAACTAGCCAGTTTCTAGCACTCGTATGAGCAAGCAAAGGAGCAGTCTACGAGTGAACGGCGGTAGCATGTCGTGTCGCAGCTCACAACAGTGCATGCCATTGCATTATGGTTTGCGCTCACCGTAGCGAGCGCATTGTGGCTTCCTCCCAGCCACCCAACAAATTGGTTACTCACTATCAAATCAACTAGCTGCTCACTGCGTCAACGTCGCTGGTGGCACCGATATGCGACGCTCTTAGCTGCAATATGCGCTACATTGTAGGATTTACTACTTTTTATTTTTGGGGAGAGCCTGAAAATATGAGTTTAACTGTGAAATACCAATGTGCACAAATTACGAATATAGAGAGCGGTCCAAATTCTGCCAAATTCGATATTTTAGAGAATGTTCGAGGTTATACTTGATGTTTATTTAAATCAGATTTTTATTATAACGTATGTCGATACTGTACTCGAATGTATAATATAAGCTATTCCATACTTTTTCAAACAAAATGAAAGCGGATCGTAGTGTTATACACTAACTTCAATGCTATTGAGGCTATACAGATCTGCAGTTAATCATCATAATTTTAGCATTTTATTTCTATTTTCCCTATATTGTATTTCTCCCTGATCATTTGGCTTGGAGATTTCGGTAATTTTCGTATGTCGTTCTGTTAGTTTCTTACAATTTCTTAAAATAAAACATGTAGAATGTTATTACAAACTTTAAAAAAGCATAAAAAACAAATTTATACATACCAAAAATGATTTTAAAAATATAAAATAAAAACATGAAACCGCGAACGTCTGACTCGAGTGATTGTTTTTGTTTATCGAAAGATGTGCAATAATGATTGTGAACCTGCATTAACTACGATATCATTCTTAAATAAGATGCAATATTTTGTCTAATTAGAAAAATGACAATGGATGTGCTTGGTTATTTACGGTGTTATAAGCCATTCGCTACATTGTTTCATGATCTACGTAGAAGAAATGTGAAAATTCGTGCTATGAAGTGATGTGTTCGATAAACAAACAATTTTAGGTAAATCGCTACGATTTACGTTGTATTACATCGATCATTTGGTGGTGTAATTGTAGTTGCTGTCGTGTTTGTATTCCGTGTTTTCGATTTCGCTACCGATTCGAAAACTCACGGAACATCATACGCATCGTACAAAATAGCAATTATAGTACGTGTAGAGTCTTCCGGAGGCAACGCGCAGGATGGCACTGCTGCGGAGCCGACCAGCCCTGGAAAAACTTCGACAACAACAACAGTTACCGCAAGCACATCAACAACAACAGCTATACCAACGCCACCTAATGCTAATACCACAACCAGACAAATACAGCCATGTGCATCGATATGTTCTACAGAACAAAATTTTTCACCATTGGAACAAAATATTTCACCGAAGGTGAGTTCGCGCAAAGGTGGCAAAAAATCGCGATCCCATTGAAGCTTACAATATATCCGGATTAATAACCTGTCAGGAACTCAGTAACATTTTTAAAAACCATTTGGGGAATGTTTTACTCATGTTGTTTTTTTTTTTATTTGGTAAAGATGAGGATATATACAACTTGACTAATATAAAATTTCTCAGTGTAGCAAACACTTGTAAAATTTTGTCGCAGGGATTACGCCTAGCAATAAACCGTTATTTTATATATACATATATATAATGTATAACACAATATGTAATACATAAATTACTTTCTAAAACTCTAAATATTATACAGTAATTTTGTAATTTTTGTCATCCTTTTCTTTTACAGGGCTCTGAAAGGTTGGGACCTATAGTTTTTCCATCAACTCCTACTCAGCACATCGCAAATGCGACACCGAGTCCAACCACTCCACGTAAATCATCAGATTATCCACAGCAAGCGACAGGTGTCAGCATCAAAAGTGAAAACAATGAGAGTTTTCCAGCGCCAATGGTCTCTGCGGTGGCTGGGGTGGGCCCGACAATTGGTGGTGTGGGTGGTGGAGTCGGGAGCGGAGTTCCAGGAATGTCCCCAGTTGCGATGGCGCAACAGAATAAAGAAAGTGTTCCATTGGGAAAGAATAGTAGTCAAACTATTGTTCATTCAGTCGATGGAATGCCACCTGGATCGGGTGTTCATTCACCGATGGTTCAGACAGCAAGTTCAAGTGGGCCTCCAACACCTGTACATACGGTTACAATTACTAATGAAAAGACACCGTCTGGTTCAAGTGCGCAGCAACAAATGCAACAACAGCAGCAGCAACATCAACAATTGCATTCACCACAACAGCAACCAACGGTGGCAGGCGGTCAACTTCAGCCAAATCCGCCACCTTCTTTCTCCACTCCATCGCACCAGGTAAGGGAATGTTAATAAAGCAGCATATACGTGAAATTGGTAGCTTTATTGTTTAGATTTTACTTAATTAAAATATGCTGTAAAACCCCAAGGAAAATTACGGAATTCCAATTAAAATTCAGATCAAAATTTATTAAAATTCACAAATTGTCCATCAGCTCGACGCAAATGGGCTAGAAAGAGTCTTTCAAAAATTTAATTTATCTGATTGAACTCAACACTATCGGACTAGTGATATCCCTTTATGAATGTAGGTTAGAATAGAGTTAATTCACAGTAAAGTGTATCAAGTAGGATTATATAATATAATTATTTCAAAAAAAATTTAATGAGTTCTCATTAGTTAAATTTACATCAGCCTAAATTCGCGTGGTTTTCTCAGCTGTTTGTATGCTAACATGAGTATCGCTATTATTTACTCAACTGTAAAAATACAAAAAATATCTTTAATTCTGCTTATAAAAAGCTTTACTCAATGAATTTGTTTTCTATTTATATTATAGATATCTGCGGAAACCAGAAATTTGGTCCCATCCTCGCCTGCAGCCCAACATATTGACAGCCCATTTGCTTCAAAGCTAGCAACAAATCCAGTTGGCGCACATCTGGTTACGTCGCCAATCAATGCCTCAATTCACGGAAAGAATTTACCACCCACACAAGGTAACGGTGTACAATCTTCGGTAGCACAGATTTCAATGATGCCGGCACCAATTACTACTACGGTGACATCGGCGTCGGCAATCGGTGGCTTCGGAGTTAACAGCAGACTAGGACCTGCACCACCTATGCACCATTTACAAAGTGGATTTTCTTCCGTACAAGCTACTAGTTCTAGTGTGGGTGTAAAACCGATAGACGTGACAGGTACAACGGATGTGCCAATACCAAAAAGTATTGCCGCACCACCACCTGTGATGAATGGCTTCCTACCCGCTTTCATGCCAGGTAATGCATCAACGCAAAATAATGTTCGTATTTCACCACACATGGGTCATATGGCACCAGTAACTAGCGGTATGCCGCCTATCTCTGTTGTGCCCATAACATCGACTTCGACTGCACCTATAACGGGTATTCCAGGATCTGTTACGAATTCGAATGTGACAATGTCTTTGCCAGTTACAGTGGCATCCTCGTCAGCATCAATGACACCTGTAACCATGTCCAGTATGCCAAAGGGTCCTTACGTGGTTAGCGCAGCACCGGCAAGCACAATGTCAAGTAGTGCGGCAGCTCCCAATCATGGCATGTTTGTGCAAGCCAATCCAGCAATTGCTTTATCCGGTGCACCACCAATGTTGGGTGGTGTGCCTAACGGTATTGCACCAATGCTGATACATTCACCGTATCGTACGCCGTACCCGGGTTATCCATTATATGCGCCATACAGCGGTCTGCCTCACAGTCCCTATCTGCCACCGGCCGTGCCATCACCCAATGCATCTCCTCGTACAATTGATACACGTACGGGCAGAGAAATACAATCGGTAGCTCCTTCGCCTAAAGTGATTTCAACCGGCATGCGTCCGGTGACTCCAGTGAGCAGCTCAACTGCGGCCTCGGCGGCGCCAGTTAGTTGTAGTGGCGGCACAACGATTGCCGCACCGCCACCGCCGGCTACTTTATCGTCGGTTCAGATGCCAATGTCGGGTTTACCACCAGGTTCAGTTCCAGGTCCTGGTCTACCACCAGGTCAGCAGACTACGCATCTACTGCATCATATACCTTATGGAGCAAATCCACATGGACCGCCACAATCAGTGCCAAGTAGTGCAGGATTCCCAATGAACATTGGAGCGCCAAATAACAGTCATATTTACAGTAGTGGTGCCCATAGTAGCGGCAATAACACGAATACTACAACAACTGCTTCAGTAGCAAATGCAACGGCTTTAAGCAGTAACAGTAATAACAGTGGCAACAGTAGTAACGGTGGTCACTCTAGTGCTAGTGGTGTGTCTATAGGCGGCGGAAATACAACAATGCAATTACAACGGGGTGATAGTTCCCATTTACTACCACCTCCACCGCCACATATGCTTTCTCATCCCAACCTACCGCCGCCGCCCAGCCATGTGGCGGGAGGTCCGCACATGCCCCCCATACCACATATGCTAATGCATCCACAACATGGAATGTTGCGCGGCATTTCTCCCAGTACTGCCAACACGAACAGCAGTAATAATTCTGCACTACCGTTAATTGGTGGTCCTAGTTCTTCATCTGTGATTCAGAGAGTTATCTCCCCGAAAAGTGAAAATCCCAGCAGAGAGCGTGATATTGCGTACAGGTACAACAAGCTTTCTTTACTACCTATTTCTTACACATTTTTTAACGCATTTGTATACAATATCTTAATGATATTTGCAGTATACCGCGCTCAGCGTCATCTATCAATACTCACAGCAGCGCCAGCAACAGTACACCAACAGGTGCTCCACCATACATGACAACTGCAGTTAGCAGCAGTAGTGTAGGGTCAGCCATGCCGGTACCCTATAGTAGTAACACGGTTTCCGCTTTGCATACAATGCATTCGCATCCAACAACCACCATGGCATCGCCACATCAACATATTTCCACACCGCCTAGTCTGCCCTATCCACCAAAAAACACATTATGGCCCAGGTAAGTGAACACTAAAGGATTTGTGTATTATTGTTAGTCGCTTTTTGATTTTAATAACAATAAAACTTCAGTTCATCGCTGCAATTAACACCATCAACGTCGGCGACGATCAGCACGTCATCAACATCAAGTTTGGCAACACGGCCAACACCGCCGCCGGCGCAACCGCAATCGTCACTGAACGTAGCTAGTGCGACGGCGGCTTCAAATGCTGCGGCAGCTGCTGCTGCTTCTATGCCTGCAAATTCAGCTTCTCCCCAAACATCGCACTCTGCCTCTGGAGCCGTTTCTACCTTTCAGCCATCATTTTTCATTACTCCATTGCCACCTCCTCCACCCACAGTGTCTGCGTCAGCGATGAGCAGTAGCGCAACAACACCATCTGCAACGATGGCGGCCTCTTCGGGAGCTGGCACGATAGTTGCACCTGGCGCAGCGTCTATTGGTGCTGTAATATCATCATCTTCAGTATCCGCTTCGCAAACGACTGTGACAACAGCAACCAGTACGCCAGTAACAACATCGGCACCGCATCCCTTCTCAGCTGAATCTCTATTTCAAACTAGCAAAAGTAATTAAACACTCACAATTTAGAATTAATATTTTATAAATATTACTACACATACACATTTTATTCAATTTTTATTCCCCTACTATCCCAAAACATTGGAATCATATAACACGCACTTGTGAAACGTACGCTAGATGATCAAGCCGATCTGTTGAGGCGTGAATTGGACAGCAGGTTTCTCGATCGTTCTGGTTTGGCTGTACAACCGCCGGCACAACCACCACCTTCCACGTATTTGCGTCAGGAGCTGCACCATCATCAGCACCAACATACACACCTACATCAGCATCAACAGCTTATCCCAGCCGCTTTGCCGGCCGCACTACCAGCTGCACCGCCCCCAGCACCGGCACCTATCTTCCCGCAATTATTCAAAGACATTCCAAAAATTGCGGCAGTGGATACGCCGTTTTATCGCACCGGTATTGGTTTACCTGGCTATCCGGGATATAATTCAGGATTGTTACATCCAGGGCTAGGCGGAGCAACGCCTTTTATGCCGCCTGGTCACTTAACTTCATTCGCTCCAAAGGTAAAACTCTACATATTATTCAAAGTATGTACAGAATTGCATAAATAGCTAATATTTATACTGCAAGTTTGTCATATGCATATAACGTGCAATTACACATATACAATTATACACAAGCTATCAATTGCCCTCTAATCAACTATCCACCAATCAACATGCATTCCTCTAACACTATTTCTCGTTTTCATGTTAACAATCATCATCATGTTACGTTTCGTATCCCACCAACCAAACAATCCAAAAATTTAGCCGCCACCGCCATCGTCGCCCTCCGCTAACACCAATGCCACGAACTCAAACAATCCACCAACGAATCTTGATTCCTCTAAATCTGCGAGGTTTACGGTATGTTTTTTTTTTCTTCTGAAGACCTTACGTAGTAGTTTGAAATTGTAGAAAATATTGCGTAAAAAGTATTTGTGTAGCGTAGAAAAACGATCGCCAATAATAACTAATTAGAGTAAGGTTAAAACAGGAAAGGCTAAACAGCTTCTTCTTCTACGAAGTAAAATAACCTGAAGTAATGTAGAAAAACTTGGAGCGAAAAGGGGTTCGTAAAAATCTATTAGCTTACGTACCACTACCTAAGATAAACGTATTTTCTGTGTGAGAGTTTCGCATTAAAAATGTCGAACCAAAAATTTATAACCGCACATCGCAAAGGAAAACTTAAACCTTAACATTGACTTAAATAGCCTAACTAATGTTGCAAGATGCTATAATTTTGTAAAATTTTTGAATTAAACGGTGTCGTATTGGAATTGATATTGGGATGGCTCTATCTAGCTGCAACTATTTTTTTTATCACAAAAGTTTTTTGTAATGATATAGTTTAGCCTTCATTGTAGCAATTTTCAAAATTATACCGTATGCATTTAAGATCATTTGTGTTAACTTCTTCATACCCTCACTAAGGCTGTAATTATTGCAAAATTATGGCCATAGTTGTTGCCATCTTTGAATCCCTTACAGTCATTAATATTTTTTTTTTAAGTCGGCCCATATATTATATAGAAAACCATTTTAACTAACATTAATATTTTTAATAAGTACTCTTCAGTCTATAATAAAAATAAATTAACTTCAAACAAAATTTTTGAGAGCATCCTCAAATTTTTCTATTTTCTTCGCAATACCGAATTGATAAATTTTTAATAAAGTCGCTAAATTTTTTATAAAGCCATAGAGATTATATTATTTAATACTACTGCTAGTTAAATGATTTAAAAAAATTTTAAATCTTATTTTTTTATTATTTTTATCTTTATTGAATTATAAATTAAATATAGACTACTTGCTAATACTAATAAGTGTGATAAAAAGGGTTTATCAGTTTTTTTTTTCAACAGAAATACATATGTACTATGCTTGACGGTTCTTTATGTTTGAGGTTTCGATACTTCATCAAATACATTTAGTTGTCAAGATAATTAATATTTGCAATATTTATATTTTAACCTTGAGGCCTATTTAAGAGATTTCAGTGTGATAAAATTTTATGGTGTTCATGCATTTATACTCTCTCCCAAACAGTATTTCATATTAAGAGAGTGGTATGAAATCGCTACAGTACCTAATTATCCTGACTATCGAAGATTCGTCATATCGCCGCATTTAACTGCCACTAATTTGTATTCCCAATAATTTCCATGTTACAATTTTCATTTCTTCACATGCAATTACATAGAGAAAACACAAACCAAAAAAAATTCTTTGAAAATAATTGCAATTACATAGTTCACTCATTACCTCACTTAATATTGTTAAACAGAAAACTGGTCGTTGGAATGCCATGCATGTGCGTATCGCGTGGGAAATTTACTATAATCAAAACAAGCAAAATCCTGATAAGTTGGCCAATACGCAGCTCGGTGGGGGAAATCCAGTGGGCGTAGCACAAGGTGGTGCTACTTCTTCTTTAAGTGCGGCCAGCACTGTTGGACCATCGCCTTCATCAGCAGTAACGTTAAGCGGCCTTAAAACATCGCCAGCGCTGTCGTTGAGTTCCGCTTCACCACATTTGCTGCATCGTCCTGGTGACTTGCCACCCGGAGCTATGGCGGCCTATGCGGGCGCTTTGCCCGGACGTTCGCCATTTGAAACATCGCCATTATCGACGAGTTTCATAGGAGCACCACCCAGTCATATTGGTAATTTGTTTAAACAAACATAACATATTTTATTAGCAACCTATTACTTATATTATATATTATTACTTCTTGCTTAATAGGCACTGCAGTGTCACCATACGGACGTTATGCTGCACCTTTTGGTTTCGGTCTATCGCATTTCGGCTGTGAAACGTGGCGACCGTAAGTAAACTTTTAAACAATTGTGTAATTGTAAGGCTTCCAAAAAAGAAAATTATTATATTTACTTCTATTATAGGCTGCAACGTACTGTCTCTTATCATCCTGGCGCTACCAGTTCTCCCATGTGGCCACTCAAACCTGATCCGGCACTGGACAATGCTCGGCGTGAGGCGGAGGAACGTGAACGTGAGCGCGAAATGCGTGACCGGGAACAACGTGAACGAGAACGACAACGTCGTGAACGTGAAGAGCGCGAACGTAAAGAAAAGGAAGAGAAAATGAAACGTGAACAGCAAGAACGTGAGCGCGAACGAGAGCGTGAACGGGAGCGTAAAGAACGTGAACGCCGTGAATTGGAACGACGAGAGTTGGAGCGAGAACGCATGTTGCAGCAACAACGCATAAACGAGAGCAACAAACTATCGCAAGCCGCAGCTGCTGCTGCTGCTATGAACACAACGCAACGTGATCGTTCTCCACATCGCAACATCAACGATCAGCTGGGCGGGCCCAGCGTTGGCGAGATACGTATCAAAGAGGAACACCCGCGCACCAAAGAAGAACAAGACGCAATACTCATGCGTGCTTCAGCAGCTGCAGCCGCGGCGGGCGACGCACGTTATCATCAATCCATAGCGGTGGCGCAAGCTAGTGCGGCGGCTGCCGCTCATCATGCATCATTTATGGCCGGACGACATGGACCACATGCCGTAGGACCACCACCACCGCCACATCTCGCGCGTTCAATGATGCCACAAGCATTAGGCGGACCACCAATGACACATTTCGGCCCACCCGGTCCACCCGGTTGGCCAATGGATCCCTACCGTGATCCATATGCACCAATGCTACGTTATAATATAATGGAGGCGTTACGTCACGAAGAGGAGCGACACAAAGTCGCCTTAAGTATGTATGCGGCGCAGTCAGCTGCACATCTACGCGGTAAAGAGCCCAGCCCCATACCGCCGCCGACAGTGGGCGGTCCTTTAGGGCCACCGCCGCCACCACCACATCATCGTATTCAACAGTCTCCACATCATCAACAAACGGGTAGTGTGCCACCGCCACCGACGATCATCGGCAAGCCTTCGACGCTTGGCGGCATGCCACATCCGATTGCCGTCGATGGCCATCACCCCACAAAGAAGGAAGACGGTGGTCCGAATGTAGGTGTTAGTGGTATGCAAACAGCGCCGTCGCCATCAGCATCGGGTCGATGATAAATAACAACTTATACATAAAATGTAAAGTTGACAAACGGTGGTTGAAAGTTGCAAAATTTTGCTAATATTTTTGTAAATGTGTTTTTATTTTGTGCAAAACTTGATTGCTTTAGCTACAGTTACTTTTAATTCTTGGATATAATTTAATGTGTAGCAGCTTGTATAAAGCCGAACCTGGTATATATGTATGTATATACCATATATACGCAATATTTATTCAAAAGTAATGCAAGTGACGTATATGCAGCAGAGGGATGTAACTATTATAAAGACTTTTGAATATCTTTCTTAAAAAATAGCGATATTCTACGAAGCAATTCGTAGACGTTTGCAACTGTATAAAATTTAATTTTATTGTATAAAATATTTAAAAACAAATATAATATTAGCAGGTGATATGTATATGAGAGGAAAAGTGTGAAAAAGCATACATTAAATTTGTCAACATACATACATAAATAATAACAAATCGCAGACTCGAACTTATGCATACTCGATATATCTTAGTGGTAAATAAAACTTAAAGTAAAAATCCAAATTGACAAGTTGGCGGACATACAGACAGCATGTAAGATATTATAGGCGACCTGTCGAATTGCGGCGATTACAATTAGACCGACTTTATATATATATAAACATACACAAACACATACACATACATATTTACATTTGTACGTACGGACACTTAACATGTGCAAGGAAAACTTTCAGAAAACAAAAACGGGAGACCAGTTAGTTTGTAATTGTATTAAAATTGGTAGTACATACGTAGGTTTATATACATTCATATATAATAAAATGCATAATAAAATTTAATTAGTACGTAAATCGTGAGCACAGAACCCCCGTGTATCCTTTCCACATCCGCTAATCCAAAAATTTCCACCATCTACCTAATGTATGTCCATAACTGCACCTAAAACAAAGTATATATACACATAAATATTTAGAGCATTTGTATTATTTGTATAATGATGGTATAAAGCAACAAATTATATATTAAATTTATAATTACAAAATTATTAAACTTAAGTAGCTTTACATTATTTATAAAAAATCCAAAATAAACTAAAAATTAAGAGGAAAGTGAATGAGTAAGATACATACACGCAACACGAGAAATATAACAAATAAAAAAGTAAAAAGGAACTAATTTGCATATTATGTAATGTAATAAACGGATATAAATTAAAGATAGAAACAATGCTAAAATATTATAAAAAAAAACATTAGTTTTATTTACATCGCTCAAGAACTTGTAACGTTATATTTCTTGAATGCATTTTAGGCGATTTTAACTTTGCGCTGAAGCAACTTATGATATCTATGGTTGTTACAAAACCTGCTTTTAAATATTATAAAACATATTTGTGCGCAGTGGATAAAACACAATTGACTGAAGAGGAGCAAAACACTTCAAAATTTTAGTTTTACTCAAAAAGTATATTCTTGGGGGTAGTCGATTGTATCGACTCTTGATGTTCGAAATTTACTTTTCATATATAAATTAATTTATGTTTAACAATATGCTTGTTAGCAGTTGAAATTTTTTGATACTCTGGCACAAAGTTGAAGACCGTAATACCATAAAAAAGTTGAAGTTCAACTGAAATTTATTTTTTTACGAGTTGACTTGAAAACCATAATGCCGAATTTCAAAACTTCAACCAAAATGCAGTCGACTTGAAAACCGTAATAGGAGCCTTATTAGTGGGGATGGTCGAGCAAGCAAATAACTGCACCAGATACTCAGCTCATACTTATAACATTTTTGCGTTGTTGCTGTTGTTGTAACGGCAGAATTCTGCCAAGCTACTCAGCTCATACTTATAACATTTTTGCGTTGTTGCTGTTGTTGTAACGGCAGAATTCTGCCAAGTTGATAGTCCTTGGCCGGAAAAAAATCCGGTTACATAGACCCGACTATCGTGAGAACGGAACATTTTTGCGTCGAATATGATGCCTTGCTATACTGCCGCAGTGATTGAAACTCGGAACATCCCCAGTCTTTCCATAAATTCTGTTACAAAGCTTACAATGCATACAGCGAAGACAAATACGCAGAAAAAAGTGCAGTTATTATACTTTTGCAATATGTTGCTACAGAGTATGATAGTAACAAGTAAGGAAATTCTATAAGGTTCAATGCCGGGAAATTACTTCAGGTGTTAGCAAGGAGGAAGGTTATTAAAGAAACTATTGGTCCGATTCAACCCATTTTTGACACAAAACATACCATTATCGAGAGTTTCATTTAATTATTTTATTATATGAATTTTAATTATATATTTTACACATTGACCAATATTTTCGGTAATAAGTCAACTATAGGCACTGGGGTCCACATATTCAGTACCTAGGGGCTTGAACAGTTTTGTTTGGATTTAGAGACGGTCACAAGGTGGCACACTTTAAACGCATTATTCACGCAAAGTTTTACTCCGGTACAATCATTGGTGCTTGATTTGCATAGTGGAAAGTGAAAGAATCAGATGGAATTGAAATGGTGTTGTATGAGAAATAGGCCTGGTTGTAATCCGATTTCGCCCACTTTCGCACTATAACATAGAAATACGAGAAGAATGTTATGTACCGAATTTAGTTGAAATCAAAATCAGGATGACGTGACGAGGTGAGTGTCTGTCCGTCCGTCTGTCTGTTCGTGCATGCTGTAGCTGTGCGATAAATTTATAACTAAATGCCTCAAAGACATAAAATTTTACACCCGATATGGTACGAGATGGCTTTATAGGAGCCAGTGTCAAATTTAGACGATGGGTATGGCATCGCTCACATTTAGGTGAAAATCCATATCTCTGGGGTCTACTCGACCGATTTGAACCAAATTCGGTATGTAATATTATTCTGGCATTCCTACATAACAGTGTGAAAATAAGCGAAATCATACAAAAACCACGCCTACTTCCCATCTAACACAATTTTAAATTCGATCTGATTCTTTTACTTTCCACTAAGCAAATCATGAGGCAATAAATGTATTCGGACAAAACTTTGTGAAAGTAGTTCTCTTAATGTATTTCATCTTACGCCCAAAAATTGTCGAAATCGGACTATAACTTTTCAAGAACTCAGACGCTACATATGTGGACTCCAGCACATAGTATATCTCATTTGACGATAATTTTAGTATAATTTTCGCTAACGGGACGTAAAATATAGTAATAAATTTAAGGCTACCTATGACCTTTAAATTAAGTTAATATGATACCAAATTTTATTGTTATCCATTCATGATTCCGTCAACAATGACCGCTTTCCCTACATTTGTTATTATTACCAAAACCTGAAGATATTTAGCCAGCTTTGAGCCTTGCATGTTGCGAGATTATGAAATGTTCGGTTGCATCCAAACTCAGGCATTCCTTACTTGTTTTTAATTATAATTTGTATATCTACTCGTATATAATAATTAGTTCAGTGGTTGATTTCGCGTATTAACAATTCAGTAGAATGAAAATGATATTGTGGTGGTTGCTTTACTCAAATGTGGAATGAGCAAGTAAAATTTATGAGATTCTTAAAAAACCTAATATTTCGATAATGTTTTTTTCTGCACAATTGAACGTTTTTTCTAAACATGATCAGAGTTGACATTTTCGAATAACATTTTGTACATTGCTAATATATGCATTATTAAATAAAATTAGCTTTATTAAAAAATTTATTATAATTCGAAACTAAGTATACTATATAACCACATGCAATAATTCTTGTATATTTGTTAAAAGTTCACTTAGCAGAATTACATTGCCTTACAAATAAAAAAATTAATAAATATTTTCACAAATCCCAATTCGTTGAATGTAGTTCTATCCTTTACTATGTCCTTTTGTTGGTAGATTCCTCATAAAGATCTCCTTCCAAATTTCACTTATCTACCCATTTTCCACCCATGTGGATCTTTCCCATAGCTTTCAAACGGTCTGAAATTGTTTGTTGTGAAACATTTAATTTGGCTGCCATTTGCTTTTGACTCAAAGTATCATCTTCATCCAGCATTGCTTTCAGTTCGGCGTCTTCAAACTTTTTTGGTGGTCTTCCACGTTCTTCATTTCTCACATCAAAATCATTAACTCTGAACCGTTGAAACCATCTTTTGCATGTTGCTTCTGATAGAGCATGATCACCATATGCCTCGATAAGCATTCGATGCGACTCTGCAGCACTTTTATTCAAATGGAAGCAAAAAATTAATGCTTTTCGCAAATCATCATTTTCCGGTACAAAATTTGACATTTTTAACACAATGAAAAAATGCAATTTCGCTTGTTCAATGACTGTAAGGCTATAGGGGTGAAAGACTCGTTTTCAATTCTACTCGAGAAGCGAATTTTCCCACAAAATAATCGATTTTTCGGAGTCGACCTTTACCTTCCAAAATCGATCAAGAATCTTGACATTCGATTTTACAGTTAGGTAAATTGTTAGTTTCAAGTTCTACATACCATTAAATATCATAACAAACCGTGTGATAGAAAGTCATACAAATATATATTTATTTATTTACTTATTATTTATATATTTACGACTAAATATTATTATTTTTCAATATTTTTATTAAAACCACGGGCGGATTTTTTTTAAAAAAGTAAATAATGGATCTAATGTCAGTGTAATAAATGTACGTAGCAGCTGAATTATAATAAAAGTTAGATTAAACTACTAAATAAAACACGCAAAATTGATTTAAATGTTGCTAATTATAATCTCACTACATCGAGTGAGTGAGAAAGATGGTGTTATAAGATATTTTTGTGCTTTATTATTTAATAAATTTGAAATACCCGATCATGGCATTGCGATACTATAAATAAATTTATTAACTATAAAAATTGTTGATCATTTAGATTAGAATCGATTCTTGTGCTCGACTATTCGATTCTTCAAATCGGAATCGATAATCGATTCTTAAAATGTTTCCATCCATATAAGGTTATTGAATATGTTTGACAGATATCATGCCAACCCAACAGAAAAAAAATTAATGCTCGTTCACAACAAGTGTTCCTTACCAACACAGTTGTATCGTAACGCTCACTTCATAGCGGTACCCCTTGTATATCTTCATGCCATCATGCTTGTCTATATATTAAAAGTTCATTTTGAAGATTTTAGATGCCTTTAAACTGAAAATATGAATAAATATTTTCGCCAACTCGTTGAATGTACTCTATCCTTTACTCTGTGCTTTTGTTGGTAGATTCCTAATAAAGTCTCTAACGGTTCTACATTTCCTATCTAAGTGCCCAGCTCTATTACAAACTAAATTTCGAACTCTTGGAATCCATCAGATACCAAACCTTAAATGTCTATCTGCAAAAAACATAAGGGAGATAAGGAGTTTCATTAAGGGCACAAAATGGTGTGAACACAATAATGAAACGTGATGTCAAGATATAAAGGCCTTACGATGGTGTATCAAAATGCCTAATTTCGAGATATATTATCCAATTAAAAAGTTTTCCATACAACCATACTTAATTTGGATCGATCTGTTTGTATAGCAGCCTTGAGCTATGCTGGTCCGATATTCGCGGTTCGGAAAAATGAACAGCTTGTTGGTGAGAAAAGGCTGTGTTATATGTGCGTATATACAAACACACAGACGGACATGACTATATCGACTCAACTCGTCAGGCTGATTATTTATATATATAGTTTACTTCTGTGTAGTACATACTTAATATAACCTGTTCAAAATATGATAATAATATCAAGCGGTGCATAGTATTCTTTAATTATACATATATTATTAATATTTTTAAGCCAATTTTTCATGTACCTAGAAATAGATACGCTATATTTTCGGCAACGACTGCTGAACATTAGTAAATAAAATCAGGTTGGCAACTCTACAATTGTTCAATGCAGTCATCACCACATAATCGGCTCTTAAAGAGGATTTGCTTTTTTAGAACAGTGAAAATCGTAAACATTTCGTAAAACTATGGCGAATTTCATGCAAAATAGTGTAGTGAATTATGCCTGCACCTGTGGCCTTGTAAATCCAATAACAAAATTATTTTTCTGTCGTCACTGCTTGAAGCTGAGGTGTGGTTTCTGTGTCTGCCATGAAGTGAGTAATTTGTTGCCTAAATGGGCAGACTTGTTGTCTCCATACATATATATGATTGTATTCAATAGGTGGACTCGCATTTCTGTTCCAATTGTTTGGAAAACATACCCTCATCGGAGGCAAAGCATAAAAAGAATTGCTGCACCAATTGTTTCAATTGTCCCTGTTGTCAACATACTTTATCTGCGCGAGCCACAATGGTTGTGGTACCGAAGTAAGCTAGAGTACCATATAACATTAATTGTTCAAAAACTTATATATGTTGGGTTTGTAACAGGAAAACGGACGACTCACCTAAGGAGGGAGAAGGTGATAGTGTTAAGGCCGTAACAAAAAAAATGTATTATCTCTCTTGTTTGGGCTGCCGCTGGACATCGCGCGACGTCGGCATACCTGATCAGAATGTTGGTAAGTAGAAATACATACATGGGTTGACATTACTTTATGCTTATAAATATTTACTTTATAGCAACTGGTGCATGGCCAGAAAACGAATGCTCATATCAGACGCGTTTTAATGCATTGCTAGAATATTATCAGGCAGTCGTTTTGCAAGACAAACAAGAGAAGCAGGAATATTTAAGACGTAAAACGCCAAAAGCACACAAATTTCCATCTTTGACCGTATGTAAACAATTTAATAATTATATTTAATTTAATTGCAATGCTCAACGCTTTCATTTTAGGATCGCACTGGTTTAACCGTTTCGATGATACGTCGCCAAATCGGTTGGCCTGATAAAAATACTCAAAAGGCTAAGCCTGTGAATATCACGCCGTCTGTTGCCACAGATGAGCTTGAAGATCTACCCGCAGATGTTTTCACGCAGCCAATAAATTTGCGTAACGGTAAATAACTATAATTCAAAGCACACATGTAATATAGTTTAGAAACTCGTGCATTTTCACAGTAAGCAATATTCAGCAACGCCATGGTCAACCATCCGATCAGCCATTTACTGTGAATAAGTTGTATCCTCAACGCAGAATTTTATGGATTAAGCGCTCCTTGCGCTGCCGTCAGTGTGAGCATAATGTGATTAAACCGGAGTACCATCCCACTTCGGTGAAGTATCGCATACAGCTGTTCGCAAATTATCATGTTCCTGACGTTTTACTCGTGCGTAGTGAAGAAGTTTTGAATGCTGGCAAATCGGGTTCGATTATACTTAAACTCACTAACCCAACAATGCATGACATGTCTATAAAAATAAAGGAATTACCAACGCTTGCTGAAGAATTGGGAATGATTGAAGAGTTTAAACTCGCTTGTAAAATTAAGGAAAACACAGCAACAAACGCAGCTGCCGAATCGCTAAAATCAATAACAAGCTCGCCTTCGTTGACGAGCACCACACTTTCAAGACAAACATCACTTATAGAAGATCCACGCATTGTTAAGCAAAAAGAAAATGTCAAATTAAAAAACAGTGAGTTAAACTTTGTGCTTAATCAACGCGACGATTCTACCGAATTCGACGAAGATGTGCAAACGCCGCGTGAGGAACCAGAGTAATTCATTTGTACAAACGAATGACAAAAACATATGCTCATTTTTTTAATTTATTTATTATAGCTTTATTATCTGGCGTAAATCGAATAAGGTCTCAATACGTCTGCCGTTTACAACCGATGAATCGTTGAAAGCTGGTGATTTGGTGAAAGTGGGTTTCACAATGGAGTATACATATGTAAATACGGTGACCAACACACCAACTTCTCATACGTTGAGTGCACGCGTGTTTATCGATGCTGGACAAATATTGGGCGAATAAGTTAATTTTGAAATATTTATGTTTTTAGAGCTAATTATTACGCAACAAAAATGAATATCGCAAGTTGTGCGATTAATCTGTCATTTGATGATGCTTTGCAAATATCTTTGCTTTCTTGCAGTATTTTCAAGAGAATAACGGATCCTTTGAGATCTACTATTTATGTATTCAGCATCAGGAGATGCATTGTAATCTCTTACTAGCGATTATTTTTTGCTAATTAAATTTGCAACAGCATTTTCGGTTTTTATTTAACCTGTTAACCTTAACATATAAAATTTAGTCATTGAAAAGATGTTGAGATAATTTTAATAGATTTATATTTATTTAAATTTCATTCATAAATACTCCCAAACGGTGTGATATACATATGTATTTCCACATACATATATATTTGTTGTAATACCTATTGATGGGTTCTTCAGTAAGCAATATCTAGCAGTTAGCATTAGGCATATAAAGAGTGGTAGAACAATTACATTAGAATATACATGGGACAGACAATACATTCAATTTATTGTAGTAGATTTTCTATCACTTTAGAAATATTAATTACGACCACTACGCCGTACATAGCTTATAGTGCCATTTTCCTGCCTTCAATGGAGATCTCAACAGCACGTCTTGACGATTTCAACCGTTTGGCGTCCAAAAATTTTTTCATATGCTTTTCGAAACGATTTGGTTTACGCTTCGTCGACTATAAAGCAAAATAATAATTAATATAATATTATCATTTATTACACTAGTATTTATATTTTTGACATACCGATGAAATTTCTCCTTCGACAGTTGATTTCGGCCTTACAACGTAGTCCTTATTTGACGGCAGGGGTACACGTGCACGAGCTACCCAACCAGGATCGCCTGGACGTAATGGCTTTTCGTCAGTATTTGCAAAGGCGGAGTTTAAACCCTTTTTCTTGTTTGAGGATGTTGTTGGTTGCGGTTCTGGCGACTTCTGTCGACGTGGCATTTGTGCTAAATCGCGCTCTTGTCGTTCTTCCTTTGACATCGCCTTAAAATCGCAACTCAAATTAAAAATCGGTCGTGCCCATTCCGATATTAGACGGCCAGCACGTTCGCGATTTGGCTTTGTCTCTTGTGGATGCTTATATAAATACATTACAGCTTTTCCAACTCCCGATTGTTTTAAATAAGTTCTATCAATAGTGGGAAACTAAAAATAAAACAATACTTTAGCTTTATAATACATATTACTCAATTCTAGCTTACATCTGCTAGTAATCTTAAAATGTTGTCACGTATTTGGACACAAGGTAAACTTCTGTTCGGTAGTGGTGCTAACCAATCCGTCAACACGTTCAATATGTTGTGTTCCAGAAAGGCCAATTGTAAGTCTTTCTTAATAAGCTGGGACATAACCATCTTAAGCATTGAAATTTTTTTCGTTGCGGGTCTGCCCTCCATGTTCAATTGACGGTCTTCATCTGCTGCATTTTTCATGCCGACAATCAACTGATCGATTAGGTCGTCGTTATCATTTATCAAACTAATATCACGCTTCCGACGACGTACCCGCTTTTCCTCCTTTTTACGTAGTAACATGGCATCAAAGTCCGAGACGAAGTTATCATTCCTAAAAATAATTTTAAAATGTGTAATTATGCATAATTTACAGGGAAATCGTAATTTCGATATATACTCTCGGCTATCGTCGATTGGTATATTTTCATCATCAGAACTTTCATTCGCTTTTTTCTGCGCGGACTCGCCTTCATTACCTTCGGCAACCACTTTATCTTTCTCCTCCTCTTCGTCCTCATTGTCTGTATCTGTTATTTTTGCGCGCTTTTTTGTAGTCGACGGACTTTCATCTTCAATATAAAAAAGAATTGAAATCAAAAGCGTATAATACTAGTACCTCGAATTAGACCTACCTTCAGAATCACTTAGAATATTTCTTTTTTTACCCTTCTTCACAACGGATGGCGAACGTGAATTACTCCTCGAGCGCGATCTAGATACTGATCTGGAGCGACTGTGTGATTTCGATTTGGAGCGTGCAACAGAGCCAGATCGTGATCTAGATTTAGACTTAGAATGGCTGCGACTATTACTTCGGCTACTACGACTACCAGATCTGCTGCGGGATCTTACTGAGCCACTACGTGAACGACGTGATCCACTACGTGAACGGGTACCACTCCTAGACCGACGTGAACCACTGCGCGAGCGTCTGGATCCACTACGAGATCGGCGAGAGCCACTTCGCGACCTTCTAGAACCACTGCGTGATCGTCTTGAACCACTGTGTGAGCGATATGAACCACTTCGTGATCTTCTCGAACCGCTGCGTGAACGTCTGGAACCACTACGTGATCGGATTGAACCACTTCGAGAACGTCTGGAACCACTGCGCGATCGGGCGGATCCACTACGGGAACGTCTAGATCCACTCCGAGATCGGCCGGATCCGCTATGAGAACGGCGTGAATTACTGCGAGAGCGCACAGATCCACTGCGAGAACGCTGAGAACCCGTCGGCGAAGGACGCGATCCACTTCTTGACTTTCTGGAGCGGCTGCGAGAACGAATCGATCCACTATGCGAACGGCGAGATCCACTACGAGAATGTCTTGATCCACTTCGGCTTCTATTTCTTGAACCACTTCGAGAGCGAATCGATCCACTCCGCGATCTGGAACGATCTATAGAACTTTCATTTCCGTCCTTATTTTTTGATTTGCTTCCTGTATCTTTTACAGAACCATCTTTAGATGCAGCACTCAAACTTCGACTACGGCTACGGCCAACTCTATTGCTTTCTGTGATAACTTCAGCTGGCACATTATTTTCGTTTGGGCTTCGACTACGACTTTTTGTTCTTGGGCTATTTTTATTTATACTTTCAGTATCTCCTTTTTCGTTAATAGCATCTGGTCTAGTTGGAGACGCTGGTGTCTGAGGGCTTGGTGAGCGTGATTTTGTTGAGTTCTCTGCAGTCTTATCAATAACACTGGGGCTATGGTTATTTTCTTGATTTTCTTCATTTGTTGTTTTTATGGCCGAGTCATCTGCACCATTATCCGGATTCGGTATACAATCATCGGATTCTATTACCTTATCAGGAAGCGTTAATGCGGTAGTGCCATTAACAATGGGTTCAACAGTTCCATTAGAAACTTCTATAAAAAATATTGAAAATGCGTAAAACTTTTGTGAAAAGGAACTTAACCTCACTTACAGCTTACACGTCTCTATACGTCTATTCGATTCACTTACCGTTTTCAGTGGTTTCCATTGTTCTAATAATCTATTTACTGGCTACACCGAATAAAACGGTTCAAGCCTATATTTTTATCACGTTTCCAGCAAATTCACGTTATCCTTGGTTTATATCGCGAGATGAAAATTGACGCTTTCTGACAAACAATTATAAAATGTTATTAGGAATGATAGAGGTGACATTTAAATAATCGATAAAAATTCCAATTAATTTCAAATACGTTGTTAACATACATAGTGTGTTCACGCACCTTTTTGCCTTCAATACAAATATTTACTTACGTAGATTAAATATTTTAATTATATATGTTTATGCTAAATCTTTAACTTTAAAAATGGATATGATAATTTTTGTATTATTGGTAAAAAATGAAAAAAACATTTCGTTTATCGCGCGGTAGTTCGATAATGTGCTTTATTGCAAAGGATGGCAGCGCTATGAGATACACCTCAACATTAGCGACATTTGGAATTACTTATTTTATCATTAAAAAAATAACACAAAATTACGTTGCAAAACATTGTTAAGGATGAGTTATCGTGGTATTCCAGCTGGATATGAAGACGACCCGGATTTTGGTTGTCTCTCTGAAATGGTGCAGAAAATAACCGTCGTACCAGACATTGCTATTGCTGCTGGGCTGAATAACGAAAACTTCGATCGCACCCTCAGCGCCGACGTCGACAACTGGTTTCAGAACTACAAAGAGCAATGGAATTCATGTTAGTATATTTAAAAAAAAACTAAAGTGTTCAGAATAATATAATTGTAATAACGCATTAGATATACATTTACAATAACAAAAACTACGTAACTACATATATCATTTGTCTAGACAAACGTACCCCTTCTGCTCAGCACAATCTCAAAGTGATGCTCAAGAGACATCAGGATCCTCTGTTGCTTGCCTTAAAATTGTTTGCGAATTGTCCAGGATGTAATAATTTAAAAAACAAAAACTTGGCGTTATTTAGTAAGACTTGTCTTTATCACATTTACGCTATGTCTTAATAAAATTCTTATAAATGTATGTAGTACTGGAAACCATTTGTGACCTCCATACACAATATCCAGAAATAACAGCTAATTGTTCTGACAACACGCGCATGGTTGCTTTCAATTTTGTGAAGACTTGCGGTATAGTATCGCTATATAAATCTGTGATGATCACGTACGAACTGAATAAGATATGTGAACTGTTGGTGCCTAAAATAAAGGAATTAATAACACAAGGGCATTTTAAAGATGTATATTCTTAGATATAATTGAAGTATTTACACAAACAGTTAATTGCAACTTTTTACAGGCTGCATATTGGACGATGAACTTGCAAATTACTCACCTTTTTGGCATTTTCGACATAATATTCCCATTAATTTTACAAGATAAAGTGCCACTGGCAGAGATGTATCTTAATGATGCTAAGGATTTGGCTTTGCCCACTGTGCAATTCCTTGATTCCTTACTGGATAAACAAAAGACTGTATTTGAACATTGTGTTGAAATATTAACGTAAGTTTCAAGCTTATATGTGTAGTATTGCTTTATTCACAAAAATTACCGAGTAATTGTTTTATTTAATAGAAAATATGAGTACAAAGATGTCAAACATAATGTTTTAACGTATCGCCCAATGTCCAAGCTAGTCACACGGTTGGCGAAGACATACAAAATTGACAACCATTTTACACCCAACCTCAATTTCACAAAGGCTTGTTCATATATGCATTTTTTGTGGCACAAATATCGAGATGGCGGCATGAGTTGTGATGCATATCGTGAATTGGCACGTGATGCCGCCAGCACCAGGCCATTACAAATGGACTTGATAACAAATGTCGCCTCATATGGTGATTATGAAGAAGTGAAATATTGGATAAATTATTTTAACATACCACTGGAGGAAATCGCAGACGATATACGCGAGAATTTGAAACGGCAACAGCCTTTAGAAAATACCGATGAAATTCAGATGCTAAATATCAGCAGCAATGAAACTACAAGTTCCGTAAATATCGGTGGTGCTACTAACAAATCAAAACGTTCAAATGCAACTATACCTAATAATTATTTAACTTTAGCACTACCCATTGAATGTGTTGTATTAATTGATGATCGTGCGAAATTTTATGAAATGTTAGAATACTTGGAAGGACAATTACTTATCGCATTTGACTCTGAGTGGAAGCCATCTGTCTGTAATGAAAACGTTATATCTCTCTTACAAATAGCTACACCGCATCGCGTTTACCTATTAGATTGCCTTTCTCCACAACTTGGCGAGGAGTTATGGCAACAGCTCGGGCAACGAGTGTTCAACAATTTGGAGATTTTGAAAGTAGGTTTCTCTCTACATCAAGATTTGCGTATGCTACACAAATCATTGCCGTTGCAATTAAATTTGAATGCGAAAACCTGCTACTTGGATTTGCGTGAATTATGGCGACGACTCAAGTACCTACAAATTGTAAAATTTCCATTTGGTTGTGGCTCAAATTCCGGCGGCAGTTTATGTGCATTAACTGAATTGTGTTTGGGTAAAAAATTGGACAAATCAAATCAGTGCTCGAATTGGGCCAATCGACCGCTGCGTCACGATCAAATTGTTTATGCGGGTAAATAAATGAAATATTTGCTTGCAAAATGTTCAAAACACATGCTTAATCAAGTGTATTGGTATACTTTTAATGTATGATTACTCCATTGCAGCTTTGGATGCGCATTGTTTGCTGCAAGTGTACCAAGTAATTGTGGAGATTCTTTTAGGTATAGGCCTGGATTTTGACGAGGTCGTCAATGAGGTCACAACTGGCAAAACCGGTTACTTATTCCGCATGAAACGCGCTTTCACGGAACACAACAATGAATGCAGCACATCTGTGCCAGCCAAAGTCAATATAGCCAAAGTTCCTGCTGTCAGCGCAAACGTTCTTGGGTAAACTAATACATATTGTACATATTTATGTTTATAAGCCTGTTAATATTAAATATTTTATATTTAATTTAACGATTTAGCACAATTAACACAAAATTCATCTGCGATAGAATGTTATATGGCCTCTCGAAGGAACTACGCAAATTAGGCATTGACTGTATGGAAATAATTAAAGATAATTTGAGTCACTATGTGAATATAGCCAAAAGAGAGAATCGTTATATACTCACGCGGGACACGCGTTATGATTTATTCCTCAAAATATTGCCACAAACACAATGCCTCCTAATACCGGATGATACCAGCGTAGAGCAAGTGTTGAATATACTACGCCTATTGGATATCAAAATCTACGAGAACAATCTATTTACGCGCTGCCTACATTGCAATAGCAATGAATTTATTTTGGCATTGAGGCATGAATTGCAGGTTATGCGCTATGGTCAGGCTTTAGATGACGTCAAGGAATTGAGTGCCGGAAATGTATCGCCATATGAGCGAACATTTAACTTATGTACGTATACATATACATACGAGTATAGTGTTACTGTTTATATTTTCTTAAAACACATTTTCATACCGAATTTTAGTAAATGTGAACCCAGATATTTTGAAATCAAAAACGACCTATCGTGGCAAGCCGATCAAGCTAAACCGCATTAACTCCCATATATTGCGTTCTAAAGAACACTTTTATATATGTGATGTGAGTATTGCTAAATATATTAAATAATTGGACATTCTTTCCATAGTAAAAGCATTTTCAGAACTGTGGTAATTGTACTTGGGATGGTGCACATTCTATACACGGCAGCGTAATGGATTTAATTCTTTACAACAACTGCGAAACTGATACTGCTGCTGGATTTTAAGCGTGGATCCTGGTGACTGACTTTTTTTTGGCATTGAGTGGTATTAAGTTAACACTATAAACATTATTATGGTTTTTTTATTTTATTTTTTATTTATCGAGCTTTAACCGCCAAAATAACGTGCACAACAAAATATTATCACTCACTTTACGATGCATTTACAGTTTGGCAACGATAAACATAACTTTTGCGAAATTTTGAGGTTATGTTTGTAAGCAAATTTGCCTAATAATAATAAGGGTATTATAGGTTTAGAAGCAAGTGTAGACGACAACCAGTCATGATTTAAATGTAAATATATTTTATATCCTGAGCAGGGTATATTAAGTTTGCCACTATGTTTGTAACACCCAGAAGGAAACGTCGGAGAATCTATAAAATATATATCTAAATGATCAGCGGGATGAGCTGCGTCGATTTAGTCATATTGATAATTTAAAACACGTCGACCTATTTACTCAATAAATTTCATTGAAGTGAAAGGTCGCTGCCGTCTTTAAAATGTTCAAGAAGCTGGCTTCAAGACGACATTTGCCGAAGAGAAAATTTCGCTGTCATGCAGTCATCTTTGTATTCAAAGCATTAACGTCACTAAGCTTCGCTTCCTATACACTTCAACTTATTTGGAGTCTGAACTTTGTTAGTAACCTCCAAATTGAGTGACCTATAAGTTTTAGGCCGATGTGTTTTTGGTAGAAATACGCTCAGAATTTTGGCATTGGTATGAACAAATATTTTGCAACCCAGATTTGTGCGCTGCGACTCACCTTATGAAAATCAAAAGTGACATCTGTAAGATTGACTTGTTATTTTGTCGGTCAAGGCTCGATATACATAAGAATCTTTATATATACAAATACCTATGTACCCCTATATTTGACCCTGTATATCTTTGTATTTTTAGACTTGAAAAGTGACATTTATTTTCATCACCCAATTAAAATTATATACCTAATCATATTCTTAAATTAGTACAAAATCAACAATATTACAAATAATTCAAAGTATATTGAAATGAATTGAGAGTACATGAAAGTAACGAAATACAAATTAAATAAAATCCATTTGTATGTATGTATGTTAGTCTGTACGTTCAATATAGCCGTAACAATTTATTAGAATACAATAAGCTAGTGTGGTAATCTCAAAACCCTTATGACGTATGTGTCTGTAATAAATGATTTTAATAAAATATATGTTAAAATTGACATTTGAGTTAATTATGATTTGGTTTGATTGCACTGTAAGTAATAAGAATTTATAAGTGAATGAAAGATTTACCGCGTGCACAAAGAATATATATATTATACATACATATGTATTTACTTAAGCCGAATTTCTCATGTCTAGACCTTAAAAAAATCGCTTCTCTACTTTTGGGGTTAACAACCGTAATATAAACAGCAGCAAAACGTGCTCAAGTCGTTCATTAAACAATTCTAAGCTAATTTAAACGCTGCTAAGAAATTATCTGCTTGAGCAATGTATAAACAAAGCTACATACTTGTATGTAAATACATATGTCTGTAGACACCATGAAGTAATACTTAGTCCGGTGGTTCCATGGGAAAGATATGAGATGGGAGCAGGTTAGGTTTAGCGGATTAAAGTTCCACACTTCAGCTTTCGAAGCTTCCCCTTACTATAAAACAAAAAAAAAAAAATGCCTGTAGACACCATTATGAACACAGTTGTGCATATACTCGTTCATATACTGTGTATGAAAGTAAAATCAAAATATATATATATGAATGTGAGTGAACAAAATTTTAAATCTATTAGGTTACATGGGTTTCACAGCTTTTTAGTTAGTTGTACAGGTTGCTTGAAAAGTGAGTAGTGCTTACCAAGAAATAGCACTACTAGCTCCAAAACGCACATTTGCAGTTGGAGCTGGTGAATTTAAACGTGGTCGTACTCGGCTTGAAGCCGTTTCACGCGAAGGACGACCAAAAACCACAACCACACCAGAAATCATTGAGCAAGTTCTTAATATTGTTAGTGAAGATCCAAGTTTAACTAAACGTGAAATTGCTTATGTCATAGGCATCTTAGACGAACGAGTACTTCATATTTTACATGGAGAATTATATATGATAAAGCTGTTTGGAAAGTTAGTGCCGCACAAGTTAATAATTCAACAAAAACTGGATCGAAAACAAACTTCTCAGCATAATTTGGAGCGTTTTAAGCAGAATAAACCCGACTTCTTGCGTCGTTTTATAACTATGGATGAGACTTGGATCTACCACCATGGTCCTTAATTGAAACGAGAACGTTTACAGTGAACTGGACCTGGTTATTTAGCTCCAAACAGGTGAAATCACAACAATCAGCAAAGAAGGTTATGGCATCAGTTTTTTGGGATGCAAATGGAGTTTTGTTGATTGATTATTTGCAGAAAGGTAAAAAAATCAACTCTGAATATTATTACAGATTGTTGGATCAGCTGGATGAAAGAAATCGTGAGAAAAGACCTGGTTTGCAGCACAAAAAAATCGTATTTCATTAAGACAATGCACCTGCTTACAAAGTTGTTTTAACAATGACAAAATTCAACGAATTAAAGTACGAATTGCTTGAGCATTCACCGTATTCACCCGTCGAATGAAGAAGCATTTACAGCCGTAGACCGGTATTTTGCATTCCTTCGTTCAATACCTAGTTTATGGTCTTAATTAAAAAAGGAATTGTTTTCTTTTTACTTCAGATGATCCTGTGAGAAGTTTTGCTGTCAACGAGGAGGCACCTTTTTTTCCGAGGGACTATTATAAATGATGTCGTAATGGCCGAGTTTTGAATTTTTTCCTTTAAAAATTTCACAAAATCTTTGTAAAGTATGTATCTTTGGAATAATAAAAGCTCTAAATAAAATATTTAATTTTTTATATAAAAAAAATTTGGAAATTGGCCGTTACTTGCTCTGCGAATCCCAAAAAAAGTTCCAAAGCAATAATTTTACAATTTTAAGTGGATATTTATATATATTTTAAGAATACACAGTAAAATTTTTGAAGAAGCGAATTAGGTATTTTTCGAGTTAACGTGATCTCCGACGGCGTTAAAAACAAGAAGCTCTACTGTAGCAGATTTCTCTATGGATGAAACCTAAAAATTCTCATCGGCTAAAAAAATCTAAAATTGACAAAATGGTGGCGCTAAAAAAAGTTGAATGTAACCAAAATTTTGGTCGGTTTTTGGCCTGCCAAATTCGATCTTTGATCAGATCAAAAAACTGGTAGGTCATTGTATGGAGAACTATCTACAGATCATTCAGACTAATTACGTAAGCAAATTCGAAAAAAGCGTTTTTATTTTTTAAATTTCACATTTGCCTCAGTTTTGCATAGTACGTGAATATTTATTAATTAGCTATCTTAATAGTTTGTAATTATCAATATCACCGTTTCATGGGCGTGGCAATGGTATTTTTTCGGTCTTTGGTTATCTTAAGGTCGGTAAGTTTTTCGATTTTCGCTACTTCACTTGGATGTTTAAAGGTGTGTGATCCAAGTATTTTAGGCTTGACCTGTTAAGGGACATTCGAAAAGAAAGTGTTGAGATGATTCAATCTCATGCTCATTCAAGCAGTTGGCATCCGGTAAAATTGTCAATCTTACCGCATAAATCCCGAGCGGGCAGTGTCCAGTTAGAGCTTCTATAACTGTTGAAAGGTGAACTTTGCTGAAGGCGAGGAAATCATTAGACCTCTTACGATTACTCCTGGGCCAGAAGAACCGTGTGGTCACAAAGTTGCTGGTATCTGACCAACACTTGCCGAGCTCGAATGAGGCACCGCAAGAAGCCAGTTTTCCCATTCTGCAACCAGAAGTATCTGACCTAGCAAGCTCATCAGCCGTGCACTTTCCTGCAATTCTACAATGGCCAAGCATCAATGAGGTTTAAGAAGGTAAGGAATCATTGAAGGCATGCTTTCCTTTGGTTTTAATGGAACTCCTCTTACCGAGTTTCAGGCGAGGCCTTCAAAGCGCTTAACTCGTTTTCGGGCACTGCTAACCTCAGTCTCGTTTCAAAATGCCTACCGCTTTTCAAGCCTATGAAATATATATTGGTTAACTCAACAGGAAATACTGTCTGTTTCCGATTGAAGTGAAATTATTTTACAATTTATTTCCGTTGAGAGAATTAACAATGAAATTGAAAACTTAGACTTCAGTTTTGTAGCAACATATTGGTAGTCACCACTTGATGTACAAAAAGCTAACCTAGTTTAGCGTATTTCAAATCTGACTGTCTAGACAGAGTGGAAGTAAGAACGACGCCCAATCACGTTCCGAAACAAACTATTGAAAATGTCTCGAAATACGTCACGTGATTTGATTAAATGCGAGCAAAACTATATGTGCCAAATTATTTTTATATGATTATTGCGCAACATAAAACTCAATAAATTAGTGAAACATTAGAATTCCATTGCAGTTGTACGAAACGAGTCGATGCTAAAACGTGGACTATTAGTAGATAGTAAGAAATTAATAATAAAGTATATAAGGTGTGCATTCTGCTTTGTGTCCTTGTAAAAAAATAAAAAAATAATTAAACAGGATTTATTCAAAAAAACAGTATCAACGAACCTGCAAGTTATGGAAAAAGTGTTCAGTGTGTAAGAAGTGTAAGAAAAATACAATTCAAATAAATATTTAAATTTGTTTTAAAGAAGGTTTATAAAAATTTCAAATTTCACTTAACAAAAAATAAAAATCTAATGATTGTGTCAGTGTTCCAAAAATCCTTATGGATTTCAAGCTATTTGAAATAAAAATATAAAGAAAAAAATAGATAAATAAAATTTTAATTAAAATATGTAGTTACAAGTTGTTGGTATTGAAAATACTGTTTTTGTTTTAACTGTCCAGTGTAATATTCATAAATATTTTATAACTGTTAAGTAAAAATAATATTAATGAAATTAAAATATTTTCCAGTGTTTGGAAAAAAAGGATAATAATATAATATTGTCCATTTAATAGAAAAGTGTGTGAGCTATTTTTCTTAATTAACTTAGAAAGGAAAAAAAAACAAAGTAGATATTGGAGTTTCCAAAAACACAAAAACGATGTTATAAAATGCATTAGTTTTAAATAAAGTCAACCAAGCTTCCTGAATATGTGTGGGATAAAAATACTACACAAAAGTATATAGTGAGGAGACAACTTTGCTATTTTTCAGTGAATAGTAAAGAACATTTCGCATTTTGAACATTGTGTGTGTATAATACAGTTAAATTAATAGAAGAATTAAAAAAAAATGGAAATATAAGATGCCCAAAAAGTTTTTTAATTATATTTTTTAATATATAATATTATCTTATATAGTTTATATGGAAGTGACTAAAAGTGCAATAAATACTTAATAACTACAGAGCTCCAATAATTGAATGTATTAAATATTAAAAAGGATATTTAGTGTTTTAATTTATTTCAATAATCGGAGAATTGTGCGTATTATTAAATTTTTTTAGCGCAAATTTTAAGTGAGTTTTAAAATGTTCCGTTAAATAGGAACAAGAATATAATTAAGTACATTATTGAAATATCCATAAACTAGTAAGGAAGAGCTAAGTTTGAGCGTAACTAAACATTTCATACTCTAGCAACTTGCCAAGATCAAAGCCTGGAAAATATCTTCAGGTGTTGGAACAATTTTATTTTAAAAAAGTTTTAAAACGAATTCAACATTCATTGTTCGTCGAAATCGCGAATGGATTACAATCGAATTGGTAGCTTTTTAACTTATATTAGTGGTTATAAAGTAGTTTTTTAACTCTATTTCACGTTCTGTCAGCGAAAATTATATTAAAATCATACGCAAATAAGACACATCTGACATAAACTCAATTGCAGAGGCTACGTTGCTACGTTAACTAGGATCGGAACTCATTACATTAAGAATATTAGGTTTGGACTAAGATCTATGGGCGAAATCGAACTACAACCATGCCTACTTCCCATTTAACACAATTTTAAATTCCATACAAACGTTTTACCAAAAATATCGCTCAATCTGTGAAATATAAAATAGAAATTCGGGGAGAACCCTTTTCCGATAATAGTATGTCCGTGTATCCAAATTGGATGGAATCAATAATTCCCTTAGTCCCCATATACCTAATAGACACATTTTCGAACTTTCGGCTGAATTTATACGCCATATATCGGCCAATACTTGTATGTAAGTTACATGTCTTAATTAAATTCAGTGAGCGTGTTTTTCTCGTAACAGTGCATCCGTGTGCCTAAAATGGATAAAATCGGGTGAAAATCTGCTCTAGCACCCATATAACTAATATCAGGATTTCCAAATATCGGGTTGATTCAATTCCTTATATGATAGTATGAAACTTAGAAAGCATATACCTAACACAAGATTTTCAAACTTCCAGTTGGTCTTATATCGATTATATCGGTAAATATGTTAGATATCTTACCAAAATTAACTGAACGTTTAATATAGGTTATACTATAGTTTAACGAATACTATTGGATATACTTAAGTTTAATACAGAAAATATGCGAATTAAGTCTACAAATTACCCCAACTCCCATATATTACATATTGATATTCGATATTAAAACAAACCCTATGACGAACATGTCGTTCAATGTGTGAGTGTCTGTACAATTATTTCCGACTTTCCACCTGGAAATATGTCTGAAGGTATTTCCCCTGCTTTAATCCTTGCAGGTTGCAAGAGTATAAAATGTTTTTATTTATATTACAAGTAAAAATATTTAAATAACGTAACGTAATAAATCAGTTTTATCAAGTGTGTCCTTTATAGATCTTAGATCCTCAAGCGTTTATGTGCCAACGAGCTAGTGACATAATTTTTTAATCAATTAAGTGAGGGATTTGTTTCAAAAAATTTAAAAAAATGTACATCTCTCATAAGCCAAATGATCCAAGTGAAATAAATGATATACATGAAATATATATATATATATATGGAATATATTATAAAGCTTGACAACAGCCCACACTTAAAGTTTGGTACATTCTACTTTCACATGAAATTTCCTATTTCCTAAACCACTAAATTTTACACATGTCATCTAGTTCAAGCTCTATAGTTCACTATACTCCTACAACATCAATCAACAGCAAACACCATATTTCTTAAGAACAATATGCAAAATGATTACAAGACTTTCGCTAAAGTTGTCTGGCTCGCGGTAGCTCGCTCGAAAGCAGTCATTCACTGCTGACTGACGTTGGCTGGCTGTCTCTTAGCTATAGCTTTATTGTTAGTTCAGAAAAAATATGTACCATGTTCCATAGTTTTGAGTCCAAGCATTTTTTTGTCATTCTGAGAATCATGTTATAATTTTTATTGCTGTTGTGGTCATTTGACTCCGGAGTTAAATTTTTTGGTTTCTCTGGTCTAGATAATGCCAAATAACGTATTTTACTAATATTACCTGAGGGCAGATAACTTAACAATGGTACATCCAAATATTATATTATATATGTACATAACTACTATAAGAGTGGACACATTTCCAGGAGTCAGCAAAACTTTATGATGAATGAATTCAACAATCGTTTTTAGAAGAAATTATGTACCGATTACAATCAACCAGAAGTTTTTGTATATGGTTATTCTGTATAATTAAGATAATCGGTCCATAAAATAATACATATATTAACAGATTTATTCGGCATATATTTTGTGCGTTCCAAATTATCTACTGAGTTCAAAAATGACTGTCCATTTAATATAACCTACATATCTTGCAGATATTTTCAGTATGCCATAATGTCAACCACAGGCGCTGAAATCCTAATATTCACTATCTAGTGGCCTGAAAGACTTTAACCTCCTTTCGATTATTTTTTGATAAGAGGTATCACATTAAAGACACTATTTGGAATCTTAAAAAGTTGGGATGGAATTTAAGACAGTGACATATGGGAAGCAAGCGTGGTTGTAGCCCGATTTCCTTTCTTTTCAAGCTGTTATGTACGGACGTCAAGATCATACTGTGCACTACCAATCTTCTCAGAGCACCAAAAAATACATGTAGACATCTAATGTTATCAATATATCTCTTATTAAACTTAGATTATTACACGGACTGACGATCTTGATCATTTCGATATACATATATGAGTCCATATTTAGTATTTCCAAAATTTCTGGTGTCACAAACAACCGTTAGGTGAACCAAACAACTATATGCTGTGCAACTTATTGTAGAAAAACCTCCTTTATTTTCAGTAACGTGTACCACACTTCGGTTAAACAAGGATCTGGCAACAGTCCCAGAACATCACAACAGTTGGATGCAATATATAGATGTCAGTCAAAAAACCGAAGATTTATAAAAGCAAAAATGCAAAAACATATATTTATGCTTTGTCTCCTGATCGTTCTTGGAAACGATATGCCCATAAACAAAACCGTCGTCTTACATAGTGGATTTGGAAACCTTAATTTTATTGTAGAGTTTCGCACTATTTGTAAAAAAAAACTCAACGAGTTAACCGAGGCGAGTACCGCTGACCAGTTAACAACCTTAACTGAACCATTCGATATTTATGGAAAATCAACAGCCACTTTCTCATTGATTATAGATAATAAGTCCCCACAAGGTCTTCTATGTAAGTATGAAATGAACATCAAAGTCATCTAATAAACAAAAGCCAATTGCAGTTAAAAGCATAAAACTAACTGATCGTTCTATAGATTCGACAACATCTGGTCCAATCACCAAAAATGTCAGTGTATCATCAAATTACGCACAAAGTTCTACTGCAGGGTTACCCGTAACACTCAAACCAACACCCACAGAAAGTCAACAATTTAACGATATACTTAGTTCAAGTGGCAATGAGACAATCTCAGCAGAAACAACATCCGCACATTACACTGGCTTTCATAGAGCTACCACTTATTCAACATTAGCGAATGTTTCAACATCTCAGTCAAGCTTTTCGCAAGGAATAACCTCTTCGTCAATAACTGAAGATATCACAGTACACGATGATCCTTCCAGCTCTTCAGAAATTACGAAAACCTCAGAAAATGACACTAAAAGCACTGTGTCTTCAAAAATGAGGGATACTACAACTGAAAACAGAAGAGATTTTGCCAGTTATTCAAAGGGCACATCATCTTCATCAACAACAGCAGACAGTACAACAGTTGACGAAGCAACCATCATTTCAGATGGTGCAAAATCGCCATTAACAACTAAAGAAAGCACAACAGCGCTTGGAGAAAGCAAAAAAGTCGATAAATCTTTCAGTACTTCAGATGGTGCAACATCTTCATCAACAACTGAAGAAAGCACAACAGTCGACGAAGCTTCTAGTTCTTCAGCTGGTACAATATCGTCATCAACAACCGAAGAAACCACAACAGTCGAAGAATCTTCTAGCTCTTTGGATAAGACTATATCGTCATCAACAACTGAAGAGAGCACAATATTTGACGAATCTTTCAGCACTTTAGACGGTGCAACATCTATATCAACAACTGAAGAAAACGAAATAGCCGAAATATCTTCTAGCTCTTCAGCTGGTACAATATCGTCATCAACAACCGAAGAAAGCACAATATTTGACGAATCTTTCAGCACTTCAGATGGTGCAACATCTTCATCAAAAACTGAAGAAAACCAAATAGCCGAAGAATCTTCTAGCTCTTCTGCTGGTACAATATCGTCATCAACAACCGAAGAAAGCTCAATATTTGACGAATCTTTCAGCACTTCAGATGGTGCAACATCTTCATCAA